GTCCCCTGCTGTTCTCTGAGTCCTCCAAGGTGCACAGGTGCATCCTGGAAAGGGGCTGGGGCTCAGCTCCCATGTGCTCGGGTGGGGACGGGGAGAGGGTGATGATATCATTATTTCACAGGATCACCGCTATGGGCATTAATGAGTGTGGGGGGTATTTAGAGCTCACATGTCTGAGGAGGTTGAGAAAGGGGGACAAAGCCCTTTCCCAGCAAATCAGGTATCAACCCACCTTGGGTTGGATTTAGTGCTTGTGGGGAGGTGTGGGGCTCCTGCATGCAAGAGGGGCTGCAGGCCTTGGGATTACAAAGGCCCATAAAGGCCTGGGTTGGCGTGAGACAGGCTCCAGCATTGAAAGGGAACCAGCTTGGGGGAAGCTGTTGTCCTCACCCCCTCACTGCTGCCAGGATGGGTCACTTTTAGGAACGATCCTGCCTGTTGTTAAATTTGCAGCCACTTGGATATAAATGAAATGCTTGGGCCCATCACTGGCACCTGCCGCCTCTGGCAATGTGGTGAATTGCCATGGGAATGGCTGCAAACATTACCATCGGCAGCCATCTTGGAGCAGGCAAGGGAATCTTGGAAGTGCTGTGTGCCTTGGTAACTGTTATCTTTCCTTTACCCACAGTGCTTTGCAGTGTGAAACTGACTGCACTTCTCTCCCTAATTGGGGCAGTCAGAAGAGAAGGAGAATTCACCAAACTATTTAACTTGGGACAGCAGCAATCAAATATTTACCGAGCAGAGGTACTGCTTGTGTTTGCAGAATCCAGCATGGCCATAATGGATGTGAGGGAGCGTTTAATACACCAATCAATACAGTCTGCTCAGACTATGCCTCTCCTTTGATGTATTATTTAATTGCTTGTAAAACGTAAAAGAGCTGTTTGTTCACCTCAGTCAATTGCAACACTGATTAGATCAGGTGGCCCTGGGATCCCAACATCGTTGAGGAAATGGCTCTCAAATGTCACTAGAACTTTTTCTCTCAACTAAAAAGCATAACCTCTTTCAAACTAAATGTTGTGAGCATACTGGCTCTTGGCCCCACTGGGAACCCCTTCTAATCCGAGGAGGTGAAGGAGTGCCCCCCAGGTCAGGGATTAAGAACAATCAGCAAAGAAGGGAAGTGGGGACTCAGCAAATATGGAGAGTGACTTCCTGTGATGCACTGTATCTCAAGACAGTGCCCTGTAACTCCCACATTCACTCACCACTTGTATATGGTTCCAATATTTTGTACAAAAAATGCCTTGTAAGGTATCATAAAGTCATGATCTGCTGAAACTCATTGTTCTGTCCAAATATGTATATCATTATTGTATATGGAGTTACGAGATTTTGGTATATGGTTGTTATTGAAATAGGTTGTGAGTCTCAAAGGAGGTGACTCACAGCCAGCAACCAGCCATTGACCAACAGGGGAATTGTAAACAAGAGAATTACAATTCAATCAGAGACATTTGCTCCAGCTACACACAATGGCACTTGCTTAACTCTGTGATTCAGCAAGGCCTCAGGACATGTGATGCTTGACTCCATGTTTGAGCTAATATTTTTTCAGGCACATGAACTGAGGGTATTAAATAAGGGACAGGGGCACCATGAGATTCTCTCCTCCCCGACCTATTCTGAAGGCAACAAGAACATTTGGAAGAAAAAGACACTGAACTGGCGAGATTTGTCCCAGGCTAAGCAGAAAATTCTGCCTGTGTATTAAGAACTGATTGCAATGCTTAGTGGGGTGAGAAAAACTGCTTGATTCAACTCTTGCTTGGTATGATAAAGTTTAGAATTTAGAATGTGTGGTTACTTTTTATTTCTTATGTAACATTCTCTGACCTTTATGCCTATCTCTTATAATCACTTAAAATCTATCTTTCTGTAGTTAATAAACGTATTTTAATGTTTAATCTGAACCAGTGAGTTTGTCCTAAGTGCTTGGAGGATCTGCTCAGTTTTCAAAGGCTGGTGTATGTCCACTATCCTTTGATGAAGTAGCAAACTAATTAATGAGCTTGCATTATTCAAGAGAAGGTCTTGAGCAGTGTAAGACAGGTACATTCCTGGGCTGCAAGGCTGGGGGGATTTGCTGGTGTTTCCCTGTGTATAATTCGTGAGTGGCTTAGAGAGCATTCAGGCAATTAGCTGGGTGTGTTTCTGCACGTTGTTGGCTGAGTGATAACAGCACCTGGAGGGGTTTGCTGCTTGTCACTGGCATAGCATTGTAAGAGACAACCCAAGCTGGAGAGTGAAGACAGCATAGTGGTCCCACAGTTCCAGGTTGTATCCCAGGGGTCTGTCACACGTCCCCTCTGGTTTCTTTGGTCAGCATCCTCCCTTCTCTTCTGCACAGGGAGACTTCTCCAGACACTCAGCAATCCTGCTCCCAAACACAGTCCCTAGATTCTTGCCCCTCAGAGCCCCTGGGCCAATAAACGCCATTTAGGGAATGTCTGTTCTCTTCATTAGCACAGAGAGGCTGGGCTTGGTACAGGACCCTGTCACTTTGCATTGGGTGGCTGTTGTTTTAGGTACAGATCTTACCCCAGTGTGGTTCACAGTGGACAAACCAGCGATCAAGAGAACACAGAGGACAGAATCCTCAGCGGGGCTGGACCCATCTTCTTGGGGTGGGGTGGGGACTGGACTGGCTACAGGACCGATGATGGCTGGAGCACCACCTGGGGGATTCCATGACCCCAAGGGAACCCCCAGCTGCTCCGGAGTCAAGGCAGCTTTCCAGCTGCACTGTGCTGCCTGGATTGCTCTGGTTCTCCCAGATAGTTCCTTCAGTCCAGCTGCAGGGCTTCCTCACCCCTTGGGGAGCTCTGCGACATCTACCACCTAGGTCCTGCTCCTTAAGGGCTCTCCAGATGTTCCCGGGACAATTGCTTCTCTGCCCTGATTGACTCCCTTTGGGTTAGGCCTTGCTAGTCGTCTGGGGCCAGCATCTGCTTTCCTTGTGCAATGACTATCATTGCAGCTGACACACTGGGGATCGAACCAGGGACCCTCTCAGCAAAATGAGTGACACCCCTACTCCACAGATCAGCAGCTGTGCTGTGAAGGCTGGGGACAGACAGGCAGCAGAGCTGGCCTCTGAGCACTAGCTGGCTGGAGGGCTGGCAGAAAATCTTGTCCCTGCTGCCAGCTCTTCTGCAAACGGGCTGAGGGATGCCACTTGAGACAGGACAACACGGATACTTCAGGGGCAAGCCCAAGGAGCAGCTGGAGCATGTGGCTACTGCAAGCCTGCCCCAGACATACGAACCAGCTACAGCCAAAGGGCAGGAGCCGCCGTACCTGGGAGTCAGGGGCCGCTGAGGCCATTTGTGACTGAGGGACGTACGTCTGCTCCCACTGCCTGTTCTTTGCAATGAAACTGAGGTCCTGTCCAGTCAGGGCGCTGGGAGAGATCTGGGTATTGGAGCAATCGCTGGGTGAATTTCTGCCTCCGCAGAGGGTGTCAGAGGTCAGACCAACCTAGCAAAGAGGGGAGACCCCACCACAAGGACCTGAGTCTCTACTGCTTATGCAAAGGAGCTGGGCTCTCTCGCTAGGGCGGGAACAGAGAGTCTCGCTCTGTGGATCAGGCACAGAGGGGGACATGTGACGCACACTGACCGGTGAGTTACACGCATGCTGAGCAGTCCCATTGACTTCCGCGGAGAACCCATGGAGCACAGTACCGGTCACCACAAGTGGGGCATCAGGGTCTGGCCCCTCGTGAGAGCTGTTCACGGTTTCATCACCATCAAAGGCACAGCCACTCCTCCCTAACAAAGGTGAACCCTCTATGTCAGGGCCGAGGTACCTTGGTGAAGTGCACAATCAGGGCAGCTCACACCTGCATACTCAGAGGAGGAGGAGTCCTACAGCCAGGAAAATGCCTCTGATGGGGTTCACATGCAGATGGGGGTTTCAGGCGATGTATTGCTTGAAAGGTCACACTTTGGCTCCTCTGCAATGGCAGCTGCCCGCAGACACATGTCATGATCGATACCATTCTCTCTCAGCTAAAGTACGCTTCATCTAGCTTGGGTCGAGCGCTTACCCCAGGGGCAAATCCCTCCTGAGAGAAACAAACCCAGGAAAGGTGAAGACGCAAGTGAAAGGGGAAGTCTAGATTGAGTTACATTTTGTTCATTGGCCCCAGGGGGATGTTGTTCAACCCACAAGAAAAGTAAATAAAGGCTGAGAAATCCGTTTGTCTGAATGCACAATGAAAGGAAAGAGAAACCCAGTCTGTGTCTTTGGGGTCCCAAGCTAATTCAGGAAGACTCTAGTGTACAAGGCAGAGTTAGGATATGAAGAACTTAGTCTTGATTCTCCTCAGCTTTACACTGACTTCAGTGGAGTTACTCCTGATTTACACCAAAGCAAGAAGAGAGTCAGGCCCCTGGCATTTTGGGAACAGCATCAGCATGGAACTTGGAAAGTCTGAGGCGATCACACAGCTGGTGTTTACTTCTCATTACACACCTAGAACTCAAAACAATTCCTTTGAAATTACAGACACTAGCTGCATAAAGTAGAGAACTCCACGAAACGTATAGACTGACTATGTCATGATGGTTGCAAAACGCGCCAATGCCAGCTACTGCGGGGAACGGGTAATGTAAAGAGTAGCCCAAGTGCACGCACATCATTCACCACTGGAAAGCCCGTTGGTAGCCAGTTTGCAATCCAAGTGCATGTGTTCACACCACTGCACCCATTTTGGGTTGCTAGGCAGAAGCGGTCCCCAGCAGACCCTGCTGATTTCATTCATGCACAAAGAATCGGATGCAAATATGTAGGCGCCATTGAAAATAAACAGCGCTACAGTCTAGATCTCAGTGCTGGGCTGTACAAGGAGTCGTAAGTGGGCTGTGTTCACGTGTCCATTTCCCACCTCTGAAGAAAGAGAGCTTATTTCTGCTCCAAGGTGGGTCCGATTCTGTGCACTGGGGTTAGTGTCACTCCAGATCCAGAAATGGAAAAAAGGGTCTCACCTGATACGTGTTGTCAAAACTGTCGTACATGAACCTTGTGATAAGGGACGTCTTCCCAACTGCAAGAGAAGAAGGAACAAGGGATTAGGTGAAGAAGTTCACAGTCAGGCCCTTCACTTTCTTTTAAAGATCACAGGCGAAAAGGTGACAAGAACAGCTCATGCTAACCCCAGGCACATCCCTGCACACCCACACAGCAGCGAGCAGCCCACTGACTGATAAGAATATTCCTGCGGGTCAAGAGGAGTAGGCCTAGGCCCATTATTCTTCTGCTTTACATTTTAGGGGGAAGTAAAACAGAGCATCTCTTTAAAGTCATACAGCTTACAATCCCCGTCCATAGGCAGAGGGGGGGGGGGGGTCACAGAATTTGTGAATATAAAGGCTGGTTTGGGGACAGTAGTGTTAGAAGAAAGGCATGTGTCCTAGATCTGTAGCTGTGGCCATGTAGCTGCTTGCAAGGTTTGGTTGGGCCAGTTCTGATAAAATTAGCCAAAGCTCTAACTCCTGTGATGTCGGAGCATTATTGTTCTGCAAAGTAACAAGCCTGTTCTTAGGGTATTTCCGCCTGTGTGATGTTCCCTCACTGCCAGCAGTACACAAGGTCACTGGAATGGAAAGTAACCAAACTTTTTTCCCCTGGGGGCTGTGCACTTCACCCCACCAACCGCAGAGGTTCAGTGCATGTCTGTTCAGCCTCAGTAAACCACTGCCACCCCTCTTCGTCAGCCAGCTGTACTCAGAGAGTGCCGCTGTCTTTACTCCACCTGATCTAGGTGTCATTTTCAGAGGATGCAACCACAGCTCTGGCTCTCCCCTCCCACACTCTCCCATGGCTGTATTAAGACCCTTACGATAGTTGTGGGGTTTTCTTTTGAAAGAACTTGGTCATGCTGGGCCAGGCTCTTGGGGGATGAAAATCAGAGTATGTTGATTTACACCAGCTGAGGATCTGACCTTCTCTATGTGATTGACTCCTCTTCCTTGATTGAAGAATAATGTACCCAATCTGGCATCGTTAGTGATTCTGATTAAATAACACAATGATAATTCCTTTTCCTATGCAGAGCTAGTTATTTTGAATGTCAAAATATTATTTTTCAGAGGGAATTAGGTCCCTAGCGTGCATTTATATGCAAAAGCCATTGGAGAATTCGGAATGGCATCTGCTGAGCAGGGACCCTTTCCAAGACAATCTCTCGATCTTTTAAGGTTCACCCATCATGATGCAAACCTCCCGCTATAAGTGCCTGGAGTCGACAGTGAACTTGGTCAGCTATTGGTGCAGGCATGACATTGTGTGGTGCAAAGCTGTGGGCCCATGCCACGTGAAATATGGATTTAGCAGATGACACACGCAGGGCATGTGGAGCGTCTATGGTGCTGAGTATTGTGTAACTCAGAGACCCTGGATGGATTGTTTTGTAACTCAGAAATTTAACACTCAGTTCCTGAGCCAATGGAAAGACTGCCATTGACTTCAGTGGTTTTAAGATTAGGCCCTAGATCTCCCCGATTTCCCGCTGCACCCCTCCCCAAAAGCACAGATTTGCTAGAGAAGGAGAACCATAGCAATGTTTTAGCCCCCAGAGAAAGCTACCCCCAAATTGCATTGGGCGAGCTGCTTGGCATTCATGCCTGAACTTCACAGCTTCTTTTCCACATCAGAGGGACAGCTGAAGCTCACTTGCTGCCCAGTCCGACATAACCTGGGCAGAGGCATGGGGATTTTCTCCTCTGTGACTGTTGCATGGCTGAGAGATCTGCCAGGCAAACTGGGGACACTGGGCCTGGAGCGACTGGGACATGCTGCATGCTCTGCACCAGTGTGGTGGATGCCGAGTGAATAGAAACGATAACAGACCCACAATGGCAGGGTGGGGGCTCTCGGAGCCACACTTCACAACATGCCGTGGCCCTTCACAGCGCTCTGACAGCATAAAGGAGCATGGAACCAGCCCCCAGCCAAGGCCTCTGGGGTCAGCAAGTCCCTGAGGTGAGATAGACATGCAGGGCTGCCAAGAGGATTCAGGGGGCCTGGGGTCTTCGGCAGCAGGGGGCCCCCACCGCCAAATTGCCGCCAAAGACCCGGGACTTCGGCGGCGGGTCCCGGGGCAGAAGGACCCCCCACCGCCGAACTGCCGCCGAAGACCCGGAGTGGAAGAAGCTCCGGGGTCCCGGGCCCCGCAAGAGTTTTCTGGGGCCCCCGGAGCGAGTGAAGGACCCCGCTCCAGGGGCCCCGAAAAACTCTCGTGGGGGCCCCTGCGGGGCCCAGGGCCTGGGGCAAATTGCCCCACTTGCCCCCCCCTCTGGGCAGCCCTGTAGACATGCCACCACAGGTCTCCACTGCCTCCTTTGCAAAGCTTGGTGTAAGGGACATGCTGGGGGCCTGGTCAGAGTGCACTGTGATCCAGCTGACCTTGGGGCTGTTAGCAACCAACATAAGGTAGAGCAGCCCTGAGGCAGGGCCCGGGATCAAGGAGGTGCAAAGGAAACTTAATGTATTGTCTCAACCGTAGTTTTAGTCAACCAGCAAGTTGGGATTGCCTGAGCTGGGATAGCCAGGGTGGATTCTAATGAGTAAGGCTACGTTTCAGTCACGGGTATTTTTAGTAAAAGTCATGGACAGGTCACGGGCAGTAAACAAAAATTCATGGCCCGTGACCTGTCCATCACTTGTACTATATACCCGTAACTAAAACTTGGGCTGGGGGGCCAGGGGTGCTCTGGGAGGGTGGTTGGGGGGCGCCACAGGTGCTGAGGGGGGTGGCCCGGGACCTTTGCTGGTGCTGGGGGGAAGGCAGGCGGTGGCACGCGGCTTGGGACCCCTGCTGGTTTGGGGCGAGAGGGGGCAACCCACGGCCCAGGACCCCCGCTGGTGTTGGGGGGGGCAGGCGGGCAGCGATGCGCGGCCTGGGACCCCCGCTGGTGCTGGGAACGGGAGGGTTGGTGGGGTTGGCAGACTCCCTACGTGGCTCCGCATGTCCCTGCAGCTCCTAGGGGGAGGGAAGGCCAGGGAGGTTCCACAAGCTGCCCCTGACATGAGCTCGGGCTCCGCAGCTCCCATTGGCTGGGAACTGCAGCCAATGGGAGCTGCAACAGCGGTGTCTGCGAGCATGGGCAGTGCATGGATCCCCCTGGCCCATCCGCTTAGGAGCTGCATGGACATGCCGGTCACTTCTGGGGAGCTCCCCCCGCCCCCCTGAGGTAAGCACCACCCTGCACCCAACCCCCTACAACAGCCCTGAGCCCCCTCCCACACCCAAACTGCCCCAGCAGTGGTCGGTGCTGCTGGCCCAGGGGCTGCCTGATCTGCTCGGGCAGCCCCAGAGCCAGCCACACCGGCCACTGCAGCAGTCACAGAGGTCCTCCATGACAGACACACAGCCTTACTCATGAGCAATCAATCACTGTTCCCTTCCTTTCCCCCATGGCCAGAATACAGAGCTCTTTCTGCTACCCACACGCAGATCTAGCCGGGCCAAGGTCTGGTGCCTTACTGACCAAAGATGAACGGAAACAAGGGTTCTGGAGCAATAAGATTTCTATTGATTCACAGTCAGTGCTAACAATGGTGAAGTAAACAACAGTTCAGGCATAAGCCAAGCAGTTGCTGATATCCCATTAGACTCACATAGTCTGATTTGAAAACAACACCTAACATCCAAGCAAACATTATAACCCAAAAAGCATTCTGCAGACTCCAAGCCCAAATCCCACTAAAGCACACTAAAGACCTGTGGAGTTTAAAACACAAGGCACAAAGCAAGCTGAAAAGCAACCGCACAAATATCAGCTGGAGGCTTGAATCTGAGTTGTGGGCTCAGTCTTGGGATAATGTTTAGATCTTCAGTTGATAAAACTGGAGCTATGGGTGTGACACTCTGTACCTTAGGAGGAACAGCCTGCACCCCCATGTTCATCCTTAGAATATGATTGTGTGGTATCCAATGCAAAGTTTGTCATGTCGGGTGTCTCTAGAAGGCTCATGATGCACCGAGCAGTGTTGTTATAGTAATGTTATAGGTTGTAATTTCATGTATATAGTTATGAGGCTGAAAATTTGTCCTCATAGCTTAAAACAAGCCCAGGCAAAAACTCTCCAGGAGCAGAGGCCAAGGCAAAACTCTCCAAGAGCAGAGGGGCAGTTCACACCTCATCAGGACATGTATGGGACAAACCCAGCCCAGTCTCACAGGAACAGAGGACATTGGCCTAGGCAGCAACAAAGGATCTGTTGGATTCTCGAGTGAGTCACCCCCTCTACCCTTGGTCAGTTTGGGACTACAATGAGGTAATGCTCACCTGACTCTGAAGGGTGGGGGCAAAGCCAAGAGGGAAGAAAGGACACGATAAAAGGGAGAGATGTTTGCCATGCTTTCTGGGCACGTCTACACTGGCAAAGTTACAGCGCTGGCAGTCACAGCACCGCTCAGAGAGCACAGAAAGAAAACTGCTGTTGTGTGTTCACACTGACAGCTGCCTGCGCAATAGCGTGTTCACACTTGTGGCACTTGCAGCGCTATTTGGAGCGGTGCACTCTGGGCAGCTATCCCACAGAGCACCTCTTTCTCTTTTGCCGCTAAGACTTGTGGGAAGGCGGAGGGGGTCGTGGGGCATCCCGGGTCCAGTACCAATGCCCCGTGATGCATTGGTTCGCATCCCGCAAACCCTGTGCTTCCATCCGCATTTGGCGCCATCTTTCAACGGTTTGTGTACTGCGCGCCCTGCCTCTTTCAGGCTGCAGGAATGGATCCCAAACTGCTGACCAGTATGCTGCTCGCTTTGACCAACATGTCATGAGTGGCAGTGGAGTTATTCCTTAAACTACAAAGTCAAGAGGAGTGTTGATCTCGCCACACGTAGTAGCTATGACATGAGACTGCTTGTGGCTTTCACGGAGGTGCTGACCACAGTGGAATGCTGCTTTTGGGCTCGGGAAACAAGCACTGAGTGGTGGGATCACATTGTGATGCATGTCTGGGATGACAAGCAGTGGCTGCAGAACTTTCACATTAGAAAAGCCACATTCATGGGACTATGTGATGAGCTCACCCCA